GCAAATAAATAAGTTATGGGTGAAAAACAGATTTCGTACATTAAGCGTTAGCTAAGAATGCATAGCCTAACCATAGCTAGGAATCTGGCCGATAATTTACATCAATATCACTACCGGACCTATTCTTCAGGATCATCAACCAGCCCTTCAAAATCACTTAAATCTTCTTATAATGCACCACGTATATCACTACTTTTTATTTTTAACACTAAAACAATGGAAACGTTTAATAAAACACATCAGTCATCGGTGCGAGGTTAACCAAGTTGTTTACAAATACGCACGTCAGCTGTCTGCTAAAATATTTTCGGAACTAAAATGAAAAGCGTATAGAAACAGACATCAGGAGAAAGCTTAGAATCTGCCGAAAACAATACCAATCTCGATCCAGTTCAATCTGATTAAGTCAGTCCCAGAGCCTTCGCCATAAACGATGTTTGTGTGTCGCAAAAGCGACGCATAACACCACGGCGGGTGTGTTGTGCGTCGATTACGCGACGCTTAACACTCGGAGGGTTAAATTTTGAGTTAACCAAGTTTCAAGGTCTAGTAAGTTAACATATTTGTAAACTTAACGTAATTGAGTTGAAAAACCCCTGCAGCCCTTAACACAACAAGTTTAAAAATAGGCTAACTTAACTTAAATCAATCCCTAGCTGATGTAACTTAGCTAGGCCTAAGCCTAAATACCTAGTCATATTACTTTTAAGCAGTTACCGCATTAGGCGACAGGCCCTACAATGTCATTTTCTATTTGAGTTGGGGACGCCACCTAAGTGAGTAATTCAATTAAATTATAAGTTTATAAACTTAATGTTAGATGCCTTGTGTAAGTTAGGTCTAAGTTATTTTAGTTTTGGTTACTGTAAATCCAACTGTATCATTTAGCAACGACCATTTACTAAAAACCCAACGGTAACTTACAGTTTCAGTAACATAGCCTGTTATATTTATGAGAAACAAAAGGAAATTAATTAGAGTTTGCTCACATAGGCTAGGCCAGTTCTAGAGATGGGCCATAATCATGTTACCCACCAAATACCTATCAAAGTTATTGGTTAACTTAGACCAGGAACTATTGGAGTACCTCTATTTCATTTTAAGTTAGGCCTATATGTTAGTTTAGAATAACTGAATCACCACTGACTGAAAAGGCCTAAGTAAGTTATAACTCACCTTGTTTGCTGCTTAAGAAGCTATGTAGGATAAAATCAGTAAACTTGATGCACCTCTAATAACTTTTTAAACAAAAACAAAATGCCGTGATGCCCGTCAGTCGTCAGCCCGTGATCAAGATCAAATCAACAGACTGGAGACTGCTGTAGTCAGTGAACTGCGAAACTCTGGTAGAGTCTAGAGTAGATGATTCTTGTAAGAATGTTAAAACTCATCCAGTATACTTATACAATTACAAATAATAAATAATTTATTTTCACGACTGTTAACCTGTTGTTATTAACCATTAAACTTATACAGGTTCCGCTTTAACTTGAGTTTGGCAGTCTGCCCCTCCTCCATGACTCTTTCACTTGATTTTACCACTATCGTACTGTACTCTAATCAAAATCGCGGGGAGCTGTCGTTGCTGACGCATTGGCACATACACACAGCACGACACACTGACTATTATCCTACAAGTATAAGTGTCCCATAAGGAAAAATAGAAAAAATGCGCGAAAGATTTAAAATTTGGGTGAAAAAACACGAAAATCATTATACATCTTTTTACAAAACAGACCATTTCAAGATTATGGATGGCCACCCTAGTGGAAGACATCAATAGAAATCAATAGAAAAAATCTATTGATATCACTAGATGCTTAGTGATATCAATAAATGTTCATGGATATCATTACAAGTAAATACAAACAAATAGACATCACTGAAAACTTAGTCAATACATATCACTAGACATCTATAAACATAAAATATATCAATATAGATCATTAGAGCAAACAAATCGTTCATTGATATCAATAGAGAATATTTTGTTTAGTATTAGTTGTAAATATAAATCAATAGACATCAATACGGGTAAATAAAATTCAAAATATCTCTAAAATTTATCACATATGAGCATTATGGATTATACAAAATATCAATGTAAAGTGGTTAAATAAACAGTAATAAAAATGTTATTTTTTTTTAAGGAAAAACTCTAGTTTTAGGTCATAGACGTTAGCTGAGGTACCTAAAACTCAATATAATTTAAAAATATATCATTTTAAAACTGTTGTAAAACAGTTACAACTTGTATTAAATCTTATTTTTTAAACTGCCAAAAACTGATTGCTAAACAATTTTAAAATTGTTGTAAAACAGTTTACAACTTGTATTAAAACTAATTTTCTTAAACTTCAAAAAACTGATTGTAAAACAGTTTTAAAATTGTTTCAATCTTACATCAACATTGTTGTAATATGAAGTTTAAATCAAAATGTTTTAAAATTGTTATACAACAATTGTAATACAGCTTTCGACAACTTTTAACAATTTCTTTCTTAATGGGTTATTGTTAGGGATAAAAATCACTCACACATTCATCATTAAATTCCTTATTTCTAGAAATCAATAAAAATTAATTGTATTGACACTATTCACATCACCCAAGTAGTAATAAAACAGTTTGAACTGGAAATAAAACAGTTTTGAAACATTTTAAAGCGTAATTACATGCATAGGTACATGCTTGAAATGACACAAATGCCATTGAAAAATCTTTTCAAGTTTAATTATGAGGCCTAACACAGCTTCTCACATTCAAAGTGGCTATCATTACTTAGTAGTGTCCGTGGCGTATTGGCTTAGACAACTGGCTACAATGCTGGAGTCCCAGGTTCAAACCACGGGAAGACCAAGAGCTTTTTGACAAGATTTTTTTTACTTTTTCATTTTTATTTTATTTTTAGTGCGCATAGTAGATGTGATTCAATGTGTTGAAACAAATTAAAAATTGTTTTTTAACAAGCTACAAATTATTTTCAATTAAGCTAATGACTCGGATCCTATATTTACTTGTATTGATATGTATTGATGTGTATTGGCCCAAATACACATACGTATCAATACGTATCAATATAAAATTTTTGTATTGATATATATTGATCTCTTCCACTAGGGCATTGTAATTTTTGTAACTTATATTACTGAAAGGAAAGCCGCTTTCATAAATATAATATCCAGAACATTTTGGTTTTAACATTAATTATTATTTTAATGATTTTTAGAAGTTTCATTTAAATTGGTTTAAAACAATTTTAAGATTGTTGTAAACTTATATCAATACAATTGTGATACGTGTTTTCGAAACATTATTAAAATTGTTTCAAAACAATTTTAAAACTGTTGCAAACTTATATCAAAACAATTTTGATATGTGTTTTCGAAATAGTATTATAATTGTTTCTAAACAATTTTAAAACTGTTGCAAACTTATATCAAAACAATTTTGATATGTGTTTTCGAAATAGTATTAAAATTGTTTTAAAACAATTTTAAAATTGTTGCACACTCATATCAAAACAATTGTAATATAGTTACTAACCATCTATATTAAAACAATTTTTAAATTGTTTAAAACTTATATTAAAATTGTTTTATATCCAAACTTATTTTGAAATTGTTGCAAACTCTTTTAAAATTGTTGTACAAAAATTTTTTTGGCTTTTTAACAATTTTTATGCTGATTGGGAGCCTATGTGCCGAGATCTCAGCACCATTCAGTAGCACCAATTGGAAAGCAGACATGCAGTAGAAGGCGCTAGCAGGAGCGGGGACTGCTGCCCTTTAGCATAAGCCTACTAAGGGCAGCGATTCCCTTCTTAGCAGCAATGTCAACATTTTGCTTGATCAGGTCTCCGAAAGCCAATTTGCTGTTAATCGCAACACTAAGGTATTTGGAATTAGGCTTGGTCTCAAGTTGGACATAGCCCACTTACACAGGAAGGACATTGGGAATTTTCTTTTTGGTTAGGACCACGATCTCTGCCTTTCTGACTGCCAGCAACATGCCATGATCCTGCATCCACTCGTTCACTCGGAGCCAACCAGAGCAGCAATGTTGTCGCCATAACCAAAAAGGTGGGTTTCATCAAGCATTTTGAGTCTTAGTAGACTGTCGTTAGACATCTTCTAGAGATCGAGTCTTAAGACCAATCCTTGTTCAGCCTCAGAAGTAATGGATATGCGACACTGCCCTTCGGTGGTGTCAAAAAACAAGACATGGTCTAAAAGGTAGAACGTGGATCGTTCCCAGAAGGTAGAAAGGGACATGGAATGTACAGTCAAGTTCCCACAGCAAATTACTCCACCTGGCGGAGTTGAACACATTCTTCATGTCAAGAGTAACGTGGAAAACCTCAAGGCGCGGCAAGTGGCTGTGGTCCTCCGCACTCTGCACTGCCTCAGCTACCTCTTGGATGCCATCAATGGTTGGGTGACCGGAAAATAAATCATGCTGCTGCAGGGACAAATTACCCCCGGAGATGATCGCCTCAGTCAGTCTGACACGAATTAGCTCCTCATCCATTTAACTGTGGTGTTGAGTATACACAGGGAGTGGAAAGCAGAGATGGTCCCGGGTACACTCTTCGTCTTGGGGTTCAAGACAAGGCAACAACTTTCTACGCCAACAGAATAACTCCTTCTGCCATTAAGCAAGCATGGAATGTATCCTAATGAACCTTTGGTTTGGACTCATTGACAAGCTTGAGGATCTTCGCAGACTTGTCATCAGAGCCGGGGGCCCTTCAGTTTCTAAGGGATTGGACAGTGGAGGAAAGTTCCTCTTTCTGAAAGGCTGGGATATCGCCCAAATTCCAATTATCCTTACACTGGGTGCTGGGTGCTTTTTTTATTTTATGTGCAAATAGATAAAGTATGTTATATTATTATTAATTGACAAGACACCAGTTACTGCTATAAGCATTTGGTGTAAGTCTCTGTATGAGAACTCCTCACAAAATGGCATGCAAAAATACAAAATACTATTTTGTTGACAGGTTGTGAGATTTGTGCTGGAAGCTATGGGAACTCTTTGCCAGACGGACACAGTATGGCTTAATGAAAATGTTGGAGAAGTTTTGGGTGTTGCAGTCACATTTATTCATTTTGGACTCGAAGGTTGGCGACACCAAACCCCAACCAGGCTCTTTCCTCTGCCAGGAGCCATGACTGACACACCTAAAGCTCCTAATGTCAAGGTAATTAACAACAACATAACAATAACAAAATCCTCTGATCATTGAATTGTAATACAACTTGCTTGGTTAAATTATTTATCTAGTTTGGCTCATAAATCTTGTTACACATATTATTTGCAAAGATAGGTATAGGTACACAAAATTGGTTAGTTAGGTAGGCGGACACTTGTTGGTTGTCAACTTTCTCTATCCAAGAGAATGTTTATAATTACATTATGGGTGAGTATCGTAACAAAACTTCTTGGTCATACAGGCCTGTAGGCCTACTTACTCACTGAGAAAATGTGTATGATGTTCTATTATGTAGTCTGTTCAAGGTATATTGAATGATAAATCTATTTTAGACTCACACAAATGCTCCATGATTTCCTATTAGGTTTATTTTTAAATGAGCAATTTAATATTTCCATTCATTATATTTTATAATCAAACCATGTATGTTTGGCTCAAAATTTTATTTATCATGACCATGGCACCATACATTATGATGAAAAGATTATTTATTTGATTTTGTATGTCATCTATAAAAGGACCAATAGGCTAGTAGGCCTAATCCATTGAGGTTAAGTTGTGGTTTAGCAATTTCTTTTTTGTAAAGAGAAATATTTTGATTACAGAGCAAAATAAAAAGGAAACAAAAAAAGAGAGTGTCTAATATAGCCGGAACCACAGATGGGGATGAAGACCCTGAAGATGGTCCAAAACCTTCCTCCAGACCCAGCTACATGATGGCTCCTGCTTGTGTTACCTGGCTCACAAGCGACTCTGAGGTCAATGACCGTAACAAATTTGAATTATTTATATTTATTTTAAATTTGTCTGTCTTGTCCCATTAATAGAAGCTTAATATTTCAAGTTAGATTATAAAGCTAATTGCTATGTATTATGAAACTCGCTCGTAAATAAAGGCATTTTTATTTATTTATTTATTGTGTGAGCATTGTCGAGCGTGATGCACAATAACTTATACAGTAGATCTAATTATTCAATTGGGACCTTACATCATTTGGATAGTCAGAAATTCGGATGATTGGAGATTTGTACTGAAATTCAGGGTATTTTATATAAGATGAAGAAGATGAAGTAAGATGAATCCAGCCAAGCTTTTACCATCGTGTTTGCAGATCACCTCTGCAAAGATTTTGCGGTCAAAGAATTTAACAATTTGCTGTGATTGCGGAAGAGAAGATGAGAGTGATTTTCTGTGACTGCGGGAGCGATTGAAATTATAAATAAGGTTTAAATTCCTTACTCCCCCCTGTGAACTTGCACTTGTGGCGGCATAGTCAGTTTTTTTTACAAATCAGTGATACCTAATGCATTAAATGGTCATATAATACATAGTTCAGGTCAAACGCAAAAAAAAAACTTAAATAATGAACATGCAACTTAGGCATTACATGATTGTAAAATACCATTGCAGAAGATGTACACATGTTGTGTTTGAAAAAGGGAAATGCATACCAGTTTCTATGGGTTAATGTAACTGTTGTATTGGATCATATTATTTACATTTACTTTGTGTACTGTCTGGTTTAAACGTACAGTTTTTGGTTTGTGTTATTTTTTGTGGTAATTAAGGTCCAATTCCTATGCGGCAACTGATACGAACGAGCCACGAACTGAGCCACGTGTCTAGAGCCGTACGGCTCGAGACCCTTGTCTTAATTCCTATGCTGCGACTCCCATGACTAGTGACTAGTGCAATTGCACTCTTGACCCTCATGGAATAAGCACAGTTGGCAGCGAATATATTACTTAGAGAAGAGGAGGAAAAGGAAATATCAATGTGCATGGTAAAAAACAATGAACAAGTGCTTGGGGTTGATAACGTATGGGTGGTGACTGGTGACGAACCAGTTCCATCAACTTTGGATCATCTATGAAGGTACACACCTCAAACTCCGTATGTATAAACTATAAATTCGTAACAGCCGCGCGGCTCCAGTAGCTCCAGTCGCGCGGCTGTACACGCTCGATCGGAATGGGTTACATTTAATTTGCATTGAAGCAGTCAATTTTTTTAGCTGCACGACTAGAGACGTCACAGTCGCAGGATAGGAATTGGACCTTTAGTTTGGTTGTGAGAAAGTGTGGACTGATGAAAGTACTGATTAATGCAATTACTATGGGGTAAATACTTGGGGTAAATTCAAGCTCTCAAAACTTTGAGTGCATTATTTTGTTTAGCAACCCAAATTTGATTTATATTGCAGAAAACTAAAACTGCCTAAAAATATTACCAAACGGATTGGGGTGTAGTAAAATAACATCTTTCCTTAGTATGAGGGAATGTTTAGTGGTAAATTATATTGATTGATCAATGATATTGATGACTGATGTGTGATCTATAATGGTTATCCTGTGTTGACAGGTGTCAGACAGTGAAGGAGGTCGTACCAGGAGAGTAAAAAGAACTCAAGCCAGAGTGCGGCTTGTGGCCATCAACATAATCATACATGTAGCCAAAGTAAGATTCTTACAATATGATTTATTTTGAGAAAGCGAAAATCAAAATAGATTTGCTCAACTAATAAACAGTTTATGACTTTTTTTTAGCATTATCAAATATATTTAGGCCTACATTCTGTGACAGAATACATTTACAGTACCTTTAAGAATACTGATTAAATACAAACGTTTTTGTCTGTATTGCTGAGCACTTAGTACAAAACAGTTTTATGAACTTTTATTTTGTTCATCATATTCCAGGGAACATTGACCAACAAGCACTAGCAACATCCAGACACCTATAAGTATCTAAATGTTTTATGGTAGATGCTAGATCGTAGATGTTTCATGCTCTCTATCTACAAAGATGCTAATTTTTCCAATTCTTAAATTTTTAAAAAAATCAGCATTGTTTATTGTTTAAATGAACTTGATGTGATAAACAGTAATTGCTAGAGTCAAATGTATTAACAGGCCTATTAACCCTTCCTGGACAGCCTATAATATGTATACAGACAGCAAAATAAATAATTAAAAAGAAACAAAAAATATGTTTTTTACATATGTAATTTATAGATTGTTGTAAATAATTTACCTATGCGGCACTTTTGTCCAAATTTAATTTCCATTTCATTTAGTTTTTTTTTTTTTTTAGAATCCTTATATATAATACGTGAAGGCGATTTATACAAAACACTACTCCTCCATTAATAATGGACGGATTTTTACAAACGATGTGTCAAAATGAAGTATTGTTTGTGTAGATGCCCCCTTTCACCAATTCCTGTAATAAAAGTTCTCCGGCTTTGCCCCACAGGCCATCAAAATCCCAATGTATTTCTTATGGATGAAATATTTTGTTTACTTAAACGGACAAATAAATTGTATTAATTACAGCTGTTAATAGTAAACACACGATACACACAAGAGCATTCGTTTTCAGTTTTGATAACTGGAGTGGAGTGATTGATTACATTATCTTTGAGTTGATTCTTTTAAGTTATCGGATTTAATTATAACTGTTATTCGTTTTGAAATATCACCCGTAATACTTTGCAATTGCTCGTATTCGAGCAACAGGTGCACTAGTTTTTTATATTTCTTGGAAAACATTTCTAGTAGGCCTACATCGGTTAAAGATATAATTGAATAAAAGAACGTTTTTACGAAGATTAATGTTGTTATATGTAATCAACTATAACAATAGCAGTTGTAATAATCGGCAGATATATCCGCCTACCGTCCGCTATGCACAAAATGCTAGCTGATGTATCCGCCTACAGTCTGGCAAGGGTAAGAGATGACTATGATGTTGATCGTTTGTCAGACAGTTAACGTGAGAGATCTGTTTGGTTTCTACTCCTCCCTGATGGGCAGTCAAGGCTTGTCACACAGTCTGATCAATGACCCCAACCCCAGAGTCACTGTTGCGGCTGCCTCCACCTTGTCTTTCTTGCTTGGTAATGCCAAGTCCTACCTTGCCCAAGCCCAGCATAGGTAATATATTCTATTATTCATTATGATATGATATCAAACATATCATTATGCGTTTAGTTGTTAAGTTAGTTAAGTTGTTTCTCAGAAGGACTAAGGTGTTCAGTACAGTATATACTGGCTGTAGACTGATAAGATGCCAAGTTCTTGAAAAATCAGCCTACAATGGTCAGTTGGGCCGGAAGATGTTATCAGTTTTAGAGCCCTCTTCTGCAGCAGTAGCACACTCTGAGTTGCGTGGCTATGTCCCCATACCACCAAGCCATAGTTGATGTGGCTGTGGAATAATGTGTGGTACATGATGAGCAGGTAGGGGCGTGTGATCTCGATCTTCAGCCTTCTGATCAGATAAAGTATTCTAATAAGCCTAACACATACCTTCTCAACATGATTCCAGTTTAGTTTGGAGTCGACCCAGAACCCTAACAGTTTGACCGCCTCGTCTTCGATACCATGTTTGAGGGTGCACGTGATGGACTGTGTCTTGTCATTGTTGATTTTGAGACGGTTTACATGGTGTCTAGAAGTCGGGGGAAAACGGGATAGTCGGGAATTAGTATTGAATTTCAAAATGGTCTTGAAAAGTCGGGATTAAGTCTTTACTTTGATATCAAAGTCAGGAATTTTTGTGATTTTGCCACGATCTTTATCATTATCTTTATCTCTCAAAATAAAGAGATTTTCTCTTTATTTTGACCCAATGAATAAGTAGGTAAATTATGTCCCCACCTTCTTTGAACATCCTGTATATGTGTCCGTTAGCACAATCACTTGAAGAGCAATAATGATCGGATTTCGATGAAATTTGGTACAAATGTGTAATCCTACGTTTATTAGAATGAGTTCGCAAACCATTATGATTGGACCATGGCAACGGGGTTTTATGGAGGGATTTATGCTGTAAAATAAGTAAACTATTGTAGTTTGCTTGTTTATGTATATATTTTGATCAAACTTGTCAAATCTGTTTATTTTATACTAAGCTATTAATTTGTTACTAAAAACACTTTATTACCCTCCCTGTAGCAGCAAACCTAGGTACTCGTTAAACCTAATGTTATTGAAATAGATTTAATTGAAAATCAAATCAGGCAAATGGAAAATCGCTTAGTCTGCAGGTTTGCTGCGGCGGTGGTAAGTTATTTAAACATGGGATATCTTTATGGCTACAGTATACATTCTCTTAGGTTAGTGGAATATTCTAAGTAATATTATTAACTAAAAAAAATTGATATTCCAGCACAGTGAAGACATATACTCCATTCTCTGCTGTGTTGGCAGCACTGTTGACCAATCTGCATCACAGCGTGGTGACAGCACTGATCTCCCCAGCACCACTGGCAGTGCTACATTGTGCTGCATGTCTGGTGGATGTCACACCTTACCACAGGCTAGGCTCAGACATCCTTCCACCTCTCCTACAAGCTGTCCTTCCCTACCTCAGGCACAAGGGTCAGTATATACCACAACTAGATGAACTTACAATGGTATTTTAATTTTAACTTATTAGGGACACACTTTGAAACAAAAAAATTGAACGCTTCTTAAGAGATTCTTTACACTTGAAGCTTTTCAAGAGTCAATTATCATGGTTTGAGAAGCAGGTCTTCATCACACAATGCTATTATTGTTAAAAAAGTTGCATGTCAGAGTTAGTTCTAGACCTAATGGTCTACCTGCAACTATGTAAATAAATGCCTACAACAAAAACTAGGCGCCTGTAAGAAACAATCACAAACAAACTTATTTCTCTCCATGGTTTTAATAGATTTTAATTTTTGTTATGAATAATTTATAATACAGATAATGATAAAATTAATGACCAATAGGTAGATTCAAAACGCATCCTATAGGTGCCAGTGAAATTTGGCGTAGGGGTTGGCGACCAATCGCCCAGTGTAGCCATTGCAATCAGCCTCCCTGACTACTTACTCTTTACTGATTACTGAATGCGATGCATTTGGGCGGAAAGAGAGCCAAGAGCTTGGGAATGCACCAAGTAGCAGTGTTAGATTTTCCGCAGTTAGAAGCTCACCTGACCCTGAACTTCATTAAGGAGATAGGATTGGAAGGGATTTTCTAGACAAAGACTGGAGACTAGTTGGGTAGAACAATAGATATTACATGTCGCAGTGTAATCTTCCCCCCTTGTATCATCAGTATCAGTATCAGTATAGGTGCCAGTGTACATAGTCCCAGAGCCATTGAATGTTTCTTCTTTAGTTCCAGAAGTGTTAGGAAACCCTTTTACCCAGTTTTTGTTTCTACTAATTGTTAGTAGTACAGTTTGTAAGCTATAGTGAATTTAGTAGAAATATTTTTATAGTAGTAACACAAGGTGCCCAAATGCGGTGCACAAGGGTGGTGTTATTTTTAGTTACACAAATTTGATAACCAATTATCAAATTAAAATGATTTCCTATGCAGTTTCCCAGATTAGACTAGGTCCAAACCAGTGTCAATATGTCAAAAAAAGGCATCTCAAAGGCATAAGACTATGTCGCCTAAAGATCAGGGTGTCTACCAGTCGGGAATTCCGGGAAATTCGGGAAAAAGTCGGGGATTTTGAAAGGTCGGGAAAAGTCGTGAAAAAGTCATGAATTTCGGCCGAAAGTCGGGAATAATCTAACCTTTCAAAATTAGGAATGAACGGGTCCCAAAAGTTTAAAAAATGTTCTGGATCTTATATTCCTGATCATTGGGACGGGATTACATTTGAGGGGGGGGGGATGAAACGAAAATGCATCGGAATTCCAATTCGATTCAGTGATGATCAAAATAACGATTTGAATCATGGGCATTCAGTGTCCATAATATACGTTTTTGAATCAGCATCCATACGTTATGGAATCAGTATCTATATACGGTATTGAATCAGTATCCATATACGTTATTGAATCATTATCCAAATAGCTTTTTGAATCAGTGTCTATACGTCATTGAATCAGTATCCATATACCTAGTTGACTGTTACATTGATAATGTTACTTTGACTATCAGTATCCATATAACTTATTGACATTATTCAAATGATTGACATTAATTATATAAGGTATTTATTGAGATGAGACATTGCTTAGCCATATAAGTTATTACCATCCAAGTACATGGCATACACTGAGACATTGCTTAGCCATACAAGTTATTACCATCCAAGTACATGGCATACACTGAGACATTGCTTAGCCATACAGGTTATTGCCATCCAAGTACATGGCATACACTGAGACATTGCTTGGCCATACAGGTTATTGCCATCCAAGTACATGGCATACACTGAGACATTGCTTAGCCATACAGGTTATTGCCATCCAAGTACATGGCATACACTGAGACATTGCTTGACCATACAGGTTATTACCATCCAAGTACATGGCATACACTGAGACATTGCTTAGCCATACAAGTTATTACCATCCAAGTACATGGCATACACTGAGACATTGCTTAGCCATACAAGTTATTACCATCCAAGTACATGGCATACACTGAGACATTGCTTAGCCATACAGGTTATTGCCATCCAAGTACATGGCATACACTGAGACATTGCTTGACCATACAGGTTATTGCCATCCAAGTACATGGCATACACTGAGACATTGCTTAGCCATACAGGTTATTGCCATCCAAGTACATGGCATACACTGAGACATTGCTTGACCATACAGGTTATTGCCATCCAAGTACATGGCATACACTGAGACATTGCTTAGCCATACAGGTTATTGCCATCCAAGTACATGGCATACACTGAGACATTGCTTGACCATACAGGTTATTGCCATCCAAGTACATGGAATACACTGAGACATTGCTTCGCCATACAAGAAGTTATGTATACCTTGTAGTTCTGATTCTATCCTCTTATTTTATCAATGTAAACCAATTGAAAGATTCAGTATTTAAATCTTACAAAGGTTTTTATTTGTTTACACCCAAACATATCTTTATTTATAAAATGAATAAAATAAAATAGGTAACATACTTAACAACATGATGCTGCAAGTAAAAATTATGAAATAGGCAAGAAGCTCACTGATATTTCCAGAAATACTGGTTCTTCTAATGTATGATTGAAAACAGATATTTCACTCCACTGAGAAGTATGAATAGAAAAATTCCATGTTGCTTCGAATCGAGTTACGCATCAACATTTTTTTAAATTGAATCGTTGCTTTGAGTTGAAATGTTTTGCTGCTTCACACACCCCTACATTTAATACGGGATTTTCTTGGCATGTGATACGTTTTGATCGTCAGTGATTTCGCTGGGTCGTAAGTGACAACATATGTTGACGAAAGTACCGTGACCGCGAGACGGAAAAAGGTGTAGTAACATGGAGAATGGACCGAGTTTTTGGTCGGGATTTATATAAAAATGGTAATGAAAAGTCGGGAAAAAGTCGGGAATTCCATTTGAGAAATCTGGTAGACACCCTGAAGATGAGGGACTTGAAGAGCCAGGCTTGGTTTATGATCATAAGCTAGTGAACCAAGCAGTGGCGTAAGAACATTGAGCGGCACCCCGCGCACTACATGTGGATGCCCCCCGCCCCACCAAAACATCACCATTTATGTTTTATTCGTTTATCTTAGCAAAGGCTGTGATCGTGGCAAAGTCCAAAAACTCTCACCGACGTTTTTTAATCGCCTCCATGGAAACATGGTCATCGTTTTCTGTGATTGCGGCAAAATCATGAATAAATTTTTCAGTCTTTAAGACGTAATCATCATCTCCCGTGGTCACGGAAACGACGTCACCTTTTATCGCAGTTGTAGTGAGCGGTGATAGGTGGACCTCGGCGCCCCCGCACTGCGGTGGTTGCGGGGATGTTATTTACTCCACTAGAACCGAGCTTTGACTTTGAAACTGGATGGAAAGGGAGGCAGCTAAAGATTAGATTAGAGGTAGAGGGTACTTTAACACTACCACCCCAATCTATTTCAGCATGTCCATGTTTCAGATGTGTCCGTGGTGGTGGCAGCAGTGACAGTACTTGGTGTAGTGGTATCACTGCAGCCTCACACTGATCAGCTGACTACACTCTTGTCATCTCCCACTCCACCCATCTCTCTGCCAGAACTCCCAGAAGATCCACCTAGATCTTGGGTTTTGGCTGCTTCCTTAAACTACTTGCAGGTCTTAATCCTGTCTTTATCCTCTTAGTTAATTTTGGTTTAGCTGATGATTTAGTTTAATTTTGGGAGCTGAAACAGTTGTGACCAACCACAAAAACAAGAAAATAACTCATTTATATTGCAGTTTGTTTGTAATGTTTTTTTTTTTTTTTTTTTTTTTTTGTATTATAAAGAATGTATATCAATTGGGTTTTTGGACAGATATATCCGTATAAGAGATTGCTTCAGTATAAAACTCAAACAAACAAAACATACTTTTATTTATTTGTGGTGTATTCTATTTTTACCAAGTGTAATCAGTAATCACTAATCAGTCAACAAATAATTACTAGTTAAAGTGGCTTCTACTGTAGTGTAACTTATCTTATCTCTTGACTGTACACATCACTACATCATATTTAATCTGAACACCAAAAAACTATTTTGTAGACAATCCGTTCAAAAAACATTTTCCAACAATCTATTGGAAAGGCTGTGTTCAATGTTCATTATCACTTATCATCATTAAATTTGATAGATTTGAATTGTGATTGCACCTGACTGCAGGGAGACAATGAGAGGGCAGTAATGGGAGCGCTGCGTGTGGAGTGGTGGCAAGTACTAGGGGCTTTGATGCGTCACCACTACCCCCTGGTGCAGCATGATGTTCCACACATCACCACAGCCATGGCCAGAGACATGCGAGCCAACATTGAGCTGGTCAAACTACATGCAGCACGGGCCTTCCACATACTGGCTGAGATCATGGCAGGACCTGGTAAATGAATTAGTTAGGAAATAATACCCTATATTGTATTTTTGTAAACATCTTCCACAATCGCGATGACCAGCTGAACTTATTCTACGATCTCAGAGACATCTTGTCTCCCAAAATAACTGCAATAGTGATGGTAAAAAAAAAATTTTTTGTTCAAAACCAAAACCATAACTAAAAATTTGAATTTAGAATCCCAAATCTTGATACCTGTAGGCAATACTTGTTTACTTGTCTGGTTAAAATACAAAGTTAATATTACGCAGTCAAAACTAAACAGAATCGAACCCCTGACTTTAAAAAAAAACTGTCATTTACCTGATTGCCAGCGAAGGTTCTCATTTCACGTAGAAGAGTTGTGGGCTTCTTTTTCTTTTCACCGAGAAAAACTTTGATTGTTAGTTTTTATAGCTTGATATTTTCCAAGACTTCATATTCTGAGCAGAGCATTTCCTTCAAGACAGTTTGAGACAAAGGTTTTTCGATAAAATCTGAAAGGTAACTTGCATCTTCATTGTCCAGTGAGCTAATTACATCATTGTGTTTAGTTCTTTCCTTCGAAATTCCATGAAGAGAAAATTGACATTCAATTTGATGAAACTAAAGTGAAAAATGTTTGGTCCAAAATGGTGGAATTTTCAATTGAATTGGTGAGATTTGTGAAGCCTCTGAGTTACTAGGAGTTGGAGAAGATTCTTGATTATTCATGATGGCCTAATTGAAATAATGACAAAAACAAGTATAATAAGGAGTCACCAAATAAGGCAAGTGTCTTATATACATTTACTAAAACAAACTAATTAATTAAAAAGGAGAGTTGATAAATCATTAAAACACTTTTTATATCAAGAAAGAACAACAACAAAATTAAGTTAAAACATAAAATAGAAACAAGAAGTCTGTTGATCAATTGATCATATGACAATTAATTTGTAAACTATAGATTTAGTAAAGACAGTAAGCTGCAGATTAGTGGTAGAACCAAACCCTCAGTTTGAATTTTAACTTTATTAACAGTAGAAAAAATGTATGATATCTGAACTGCTACAGAGTGAAACAGCGGTTAAAACAATAAAAAAAAATGAAGAATCTAAAGAAATTGCTAGAGCTATGCTCGTAAACAAGATTAATTAAACCGTGAAACATTCATCGTCGACTAAATACAAGAATAGGTTTAGGTCACTGAGACAGGTTGCAGTCTCAGAGATAAGCTCATTAACAACAATGCCGTGTCACAAAGACCGATAAGGGGAACGCATCAGTAATTCTCTACAAACATGAGTACTACGACAAAGTTTACAGCTTTCTCAGAGACAATAACATTTATGAAATAAATGAAGATCCCACAAAAACCTATTCCAAAGAAATTAACGGCATAATTAGCCACTCAACTAATCATCAACATCTCTTGGAATTGGGGCAAAATCATATATGTACACATTAGAACCTCAAGTATGTGGGGTTGGAGGGAGACTACGGATAACTGAAAACCACGGTTAATCCAACATGGCATAGAAATATAATATGAAAGGCCCATAAAAAAAACTGTAATCCTCTATATTTATTACTGTAGTCATTAATCATAATTTGGATTTTTACATCAACAAAATAAAATATTGCACATGCACAATCATATTATCTTATCTAACAGGAGCAGGCCGAGACCATAAAACACTTTATCCGAAAGTTGAATTATTGCGCATCCCAGAAAGTTGTTTTATTGGATAGACCCAACAGATTCAGGCATCCGATGAAAGCCTGTAGTCTTCCAATTGGGTATTCTTCCCTGGGAAGAGTTATCCGTCTAGCATCAGAGAGATTTAAAGCAGGTGATTGGCTATCTTTTCTAACCTACCGCAGTGCATACAGATAGGTTCACCATCAAACCAGCCCATCCGTTATAAATGTTTCCTGAATTGCCCATGGTTAGCTATCAGTTCCACTATTAACTCTAAGGAGAAAAGTTTCAATCCAACATTTACCGTGCTTTTCATTGGCCCATGACACATTAGAGTTGCACATGCTTTTTCGTGATATACCACAGAAGGGTTGTGGACCAATCATTGTTGTCGTTGAGGCAACATTTTCCAATCTGTCCGCGGCTTCATTTCCTTTAACGCCAGAGTGTCCAGGCACCCAGCAATTTTAATTTCAAGTCACAACATTGGTCCTTGGTTCAGTTATAAAATCTGTTCAGTTTAAAATAACAGCTTCCTCAAACTGACCAAAAATCTGCTTATTATTGTACAGCAGTAAATCACCTAAGAACAAAACAGAAAGTCTAGAGGGCTGCTGGAGGTAGGCTAACTGTTAAATTCTGTTTCAAAACAGAGGAATTTCGGATAGTAATACGGTAGTCAACTATCATTGATGTTCCCGTGATTGAAAACAAGTTTTATAGGAGACAATAAATACTAGGTGTACAATTTAATTGTCTGCTTGCAATATTGAGCGGTCTTGGGTCTCCCTTCATCCATGCATTCGACAAGTTGCCATGCTTACCCAAAAAAAATCATCCAATCACAAACAGCTTGTGTCGTCATCAGCTGATGTGAAACAGTGCATAACAGACAGATATGTATGGAAAAGACCATTGTCAGCCCATGGGTGGCATCAACATGGAGCTCGCGATCAATATTTCTTTGTCCTGCTTCTTGTTTATTTAATTTTTTTCAATGAATACAAACCCTTTAAAAAGCTAAATGCGTAAGGAGAATAGTCAGACTGGAATTTTGCCGCCAAAATGAGCTTTGCGAGGCCGCCGCTATGATCACTCGTGTGGCGGCCCACATACTCTGTCACTCTCTCTTTCTAAGCATATTGTTTGTCTCATTCCCTCTCACTCAGTCAGCTGACTTAAACGCATGCTCGCGATAGTCTACCTAGCGGCCGCCGCAGGAACTATAAAAAATTCAAATATTTCCGGACTGAATATTTTACAAAGGCATTGCGCTTCTTAAAGGGTTTGTATTCATTGTTTTTGTCCAATTAAATTTGATATAAAATAAGCCAATATAATATAAGTAAGTCACCTACAGTTGATGATATTCTGTATTAGATGCAGATGTGACGGAGTGTGTGGAGGTGTGGAACATGATGATTGGTTCTCAGCTACTTAGTCTACTAGGTTCCTCTCCAGGACTGACCACTACAGTGTGTGAGTGTCTTGGAGCCATGAGTCCTTCTGCATACCAACATCTCACGGTATACTCCAGTCATAGATTTGGTTGCATTGTAATAAATTGATAGCAAAATCTTCAAAATTAAAATTAAATTTAGTCTAGGAAAAAGAAATAATGTATATATTTATATTTAGATTACGCACACATAAATAACCTTTGTGCATGAAAATATCAAAAATCTTTTGCTGAAACCTTTTCTATTTCCTAGAAGCTCACTATAACCATATATTATCTTTAGATAAGAAATAAATTGCCTATAACAAGAGAAAAAGTATTAGAAATAAACTTACAAACTTACAACGATACAATCTACTTGTCAGGAGAAGCAGCAGATATGTTGCATCACTTCGCTGCTCGGATGTGCTAGAGATGAGGAACCCAATGTGAGAGCTGCGGCAGTCCAGGCTCTTGCTAACTACCTTACCTTCCCTACACTCAGTCAGGTAACATACTTTAAATGTCAAAATGTTACAGTAACATTGAGATTGTGGAGATGCTGCTGGTATTGGGGGGCATGATCTTGATTTTGCTGGGATTGTGGGAGATAATCACCGTGCTACTGGGATTGAAGAATATGATTGCAATAATATTGGGATTGTGAAGGATTCAAGGATGATCATTCTGCTGTGGGACTATTGTAGATTATCACAATGATGCTGGGACTATTGTAGATTATCACAATGTTGCTAGGACTATTGTAGATTATCACAATGTTGCTGGGACTATTGTAGATTATCACAATGATGCTGGGACTGTGGGAGATGATCACAATTTTGCTGGGCCTGTAGGTACAGTTGACATGAGTTGTATTGTGTAGGATGAACAGTTTGTCAGTGACTGCAGTGAGGTCATCTGTCATCTCATTAAGGATCCCTTCCCCCTTGTGTCAGGCAAGGCATCCTGGGCTCTGGGCAACCTGTCCGACATGCTCTACAAAACTCAGTGAGTGTTTTCCATTAGTTGTATTGCCAATCTTGATAAGCTAGTGAGTCAACCCTCACTTAAATTTTGTAAAGTCCTGGGATGGAATGCCCTAGTGGAAAAATATAAACACAACCAAAAATATAAACATTATTTGAATCATAGTTTATATATGTGTCAATTTTGCATACAAACAATTGAGGACTTAACTAAAATCATTTGTATAGAGCTGTTGGCAAAACTGAATGAGGTATAAGACTGTCTGGACAAGGACATCTCCTCCTTACCTCATCTAATCTTACAAACCAATGGCAAGTTTCACCTCCAGATAAATTGTCTGACATGCAGTTTCCCCGGCGGTTGAAGGAATTTATTAGGGTCGATGATAATCCTGCCCCTCAAAAATGTCTGCAGTTCCCCCGGCGCATTCCGCTTGAGTGAGTACACATGAGACCTGACTCGCCCATGATCAAAAATTCTTAGGTAACCAGTGAACTGGTATTATTTAAGTCCAATTAGTGAGATTTTTTAATTACACAAATCCATAACATTTCCATACTGTACACGATTCACGGGAACCCATGTTTTCCTCAATGCTTTCCGTCACTCCAGAAAAAAATATAAAAATACATCTCATTTAAATAGTAACCTAATCTCACCTAATCTAACCTAACTAGAGATATGTCGAATCCAAATCTCGAATCTCAAATCCACCGAATCCTAAGAAAAGATTTGGATTCGAGATTCGATTAACAAAATTAGAAAATCAAACTTTTATTTAAATATATTTATAAGGCATATACTGTGTGGCCTAACCATAGAGGTTATTGACGTTGTAATATACAGCACTGTGACATTGCCATTTTATGAATTTTAATGAACAGGGTATACTATTGATCAACGAATTTTAAATTAACAAGTGTACCTACAACAACCATAACTAACTAATAATGAATATTTGCCGTCCAAATAAAGTATACCGACCGACCGTTTGATTTAGGTTAATAAGTTAAAAGATGTAACCAATTAGTCGTCAGTTATTTTTGCCATGTGTCAAAATCAAAAGTAATTGTAGCTACGTAACTTTTCATTGCAAAGAGTAGTCATTTATGGTCAGTGTAATATTTATTTTTAAATGGTTCCTAATCCATTCTTGTTTTTTAATCACTATAAGCCCATTTGTAATTATTTTTTGGACTCAAGATTCGAGATTTTATTTTTTAGGGTTCGGATTCAAGATTCAAAATTCCTGGATTCAACTATCACTAAACCTAACCTTTCCTAACCTACCCTATCCTAACCTAACCTAACCTAAACTAACTTAACCCTAGATCTGGCACTAACCGAAATGGGAAAGCCCGCTGTATTCTGTTTCCAGTTGTGCATATTGTAAAACTTAAATAAACATCCAAATATTATGTTAAGTTTATTTGCTTTCATTTAACACTTATTTTATTTGTTGTGTTAGCAAATAACGATAAAACAGAAATTACCACTGGGGGAACTGCAGATACCCTTCGGGAGCTGCCCCTGACCGCCGGGGGACTGCAGAACTCCCGATTAATTAATATCTAGCTCAGTGTTAAGTACACGGCTGCTCCAGTCGTCACTCAAGAAAGATGTCTACTATACTACTTTAACTAAACTATGTCAGCTGATTAGCTGATTTGACAGAGCTGCTCAGCTCGCAGAGTTCTGAATTGAAAAAATATATTTTTAAGACGGTTGTGCTACCACCAGTATGTTTTCTACTGAGCCTATGCTTGTTCAAATTAAATGTTAACAAAGATATTTTTCATTACTATAAAATGTGATATGGATGGTTCCAGATTGAAAGAAGAAATAATTCCACCTATTCAGCTAATAAGAACTAGCTTCACTGCTGCTCAAGACAGAGTCAAGGTAACTTTTATTATGATTAATAACTTTCACAAGCTAATTGTGCATGTAAAAAAAAACATCACCCAATACTTAGAAACATCATCAGTCCCAGCTTTTGATACAACTAACATCCTGGTGTTTTAAGTGGTTAGGTACTAAACTATGTTGAATCACACACACACCCCCGCAACAGGTCATGTAACTTGCATAAATAAATGCTGCTAATAAGTTTCATTAAAGAACTTTGCTACCTTAGAAGTTTCTATATTTGTTATCAAAAGTGAAGCAAATATTTGGTAAATAACTTGTCTAGTGATAATATTTATAGAAATTCTTGATTTAGGTGAGAGCCAATGGAATGCGAGCACTAGGCAACTTGTTGGGCCTCTTAAAAGAAAAACATTTTTCAAAACCTGAATACAAAGAAGTTCTTGTACAAGCTGCTCAAATTCTCGCAAAAAATGCTACATCAAACCTAAGTATGAAGGTAGGTAATGTTTTGTTTATATTAGTAGGGGCAAGGGGGCCTGAGATTATCTATCAAGCAAAGCTCAACCCCAGCTTTATTATACTGTGAATTTTACCAATGACCATATAATGAGTTAATTTTTCACAAACCTTCTTTTTAAAGTGCAATTCAATGTTATGATGTAGAGTTCAATATAATTTTAAAGTGCACAAAAGGGTTATGAAACAAGGAACTACTGTCGGGGAAATAAATATGTATGTGCACTCGAGTTTGAGCTTAAATATCTCTGAAATGGATTATCTGAATTTGTTGAAACAAAAATTAAATATAAGCTAGTTTGAATAGATTTTACGTGGTAACAATAAAAAAATTCTCTTTACCAGAAAAATTGATATAGTTGAAAAAAAAGATCTACCAGTTGACTTATCATCCCTTGCAGCTTGCAATTCTTATAAATAACTATTATAACTATAAATTCATTACAAATGTTAGTTCGTTGCTGAGGCACTTCTTGTAAATAATTACTAGGCCTACATTATTTTCTAAGTGTATTTTAATTTTTACCCGATCGTACACAATTTGAAATAGAGCACTGCATACCACAATGCTCTTCTAATGTTTAATTGTAGTGAAATTTCTAGTAAACTTACTTGAATTTCCTATGTAAATTCAAAGTATCAAAATATATTTATTAGCGGTCTGCGGGCCAGAATCTTTTTGTGTTGAGGGAAAATTATTAAGTTTTATAAATATCAACTGTCATTACTAGTACTACTCCATTTCATAATATATTGTACATTATCTCCATTAGTCTCATAATGTTGAATGTCTCCCAAAATCATATGGAATTATGAACATCTGTGGTTGTGTACATGTTCTGTGGTCGTGACAAAATTGTGATTATCTCCTGCAGTTGCCGTGTAATCGTTAAGGTCTCCTGCTATTAACAAAATTGAAAACATCTTCCACAACTTCAGGACATTGTCATTGTCTTCTGCGATTGCAACAAAATAATGAATTTATGATTTTGCAATCTTCTAAACGTGTTCTGTTCTGCAATTAGCTATTCAATATTTTACTTTGTGGTGAAAGTAAACGGTTCTGTACTGTAAACTGATTTATTGTTGTAAACATTGAATGTAAAATATTGATAGCAGAATGTATAGCCTACAATGACTTTGTATTTTTCCTTACAGGTAAGCTGGAATGCCTGTTATGCCCTTGGCAGCATGTTGAAAAACGAAGCTATTCATGATGCTTCTTCTGAATGGCAGGTAGGTAATACATAAAAATACATAAAATATATAGGGCGGGTTTCTGAGTCTGGGATTTATAAGTCCAGAACTAGGCTAGTCATGGATTAAAATTAGTCATGTACTAAAGATTGACTTTCTGAGTCAAGGATTAAGGACACACAGACTAATTTAAAGCGGGTACTTTGTTTAGTCAGAGATTAAAAGAGCTCATGATTTTCAAGGGAAATGTAGGGTAATTTGTTCCGGCGTGCTGGTAACACTGTCAGTTTGATGTGCGCACTGCTCTGAAAAAGTAAACAAACAACGATCTCAGTCAAACCTTGGTTTTGAGGTTTATTTCTGTTTTAATTCATTTATCATTGTAATACTTATATTTTGTTATAAACTAGGTAGTTGTATCGTAAAATTTTAAAGGTGTTTTAAAGGTAGGATTGGTGTTTCATCCTATTTCTTTTGGCTGCAGTTTACTTTACGTCCAACACTCCTTCGAATTAAAATATCGGTTATTCGATTGTTTCATTCGATATATCGTTTGGTTAGTTAGGATAGGTTAACCTTACCTAACTAACCAAACGATATAACTTATCGAATAATCAATATAACGATCGATATTTTCATTACAAAGAGGGTAGGACGTAGTGCAGCCATAGTTTGAATAGGCTTATTGCAATAATGATCAGGTAATTTCAACCGAGAGTCATAAGTTACCAGTACTAACTTACTGGCGGACCCTAGCCTTAAAAAAAAAACTTGTCGACCAGGCTAATGAAATAATCAAAATATCGAATAATCAATTATTTCATTCGGTTGTTCTTGACAACAGAAGTTACGGAAGTCTCTTTACATACTGTCTAACACTTAGGCCTAATCTAATTTAAGTTTTGCTTTTCATCAGCACCAATCCTTGTTCTCCTAATCACCTGAAATGTTCTATAAGATGTGTTTAAACCGTTCCTAGACACCAAAACTAACTTTCTCAAATGACTTTTTTGTTGTCGAGGCTTCCTTTGACCCCTACAATTTTATATATATCAGCAATAACCTCTACCATATAACCTAGGGGACCAGTGGGAATTAGAGGTTTTTTATGGGAGTAAAAGCTCTTGATGTAGTCTTTCCTCAGTTCACGGCATATTGCCAATGCCACTTTGGGCAAATAGCGGCATGCCGATGATTCTGAAATATTAGTTAGATCGCCGGCTTCCCGCAAAAGTGTTCCACTTGCAAAAAAGCGCAACGCTACCAACACTTTCTTCCACAAAGGTAACCTAGTTCCCCTTGTGGAAGTGCCTTCCAAACTAGGCCTTATCAATTCAATTACAGTAGGTAGTTCTCTCACAGAGCTGTTTAAAAATCTATACCTAACTTATCCTTGAATTCATCCTCACTTAAGTTATCAAATGGATTGTTTTCCCGCTCACGACGAATTCACGGCCCACGAAAACAGTAAAAATCATGATAATCAATGTAATCCATAATCACCTTAATCTTTAACACACAAAAATGGCTTAGGTTAAAAGTGGACGACTAAAATTAATCCTACCCCTATGTAGGATTAAAATCTAGCATGTTTTAGTCTGTGGACTAAAGCATAATTTCTTTAGTTCAGACTTAAAAACTAGTTCTTGACTAAGATTAGTCGCTGACTTATAAGTACTCGAATCAGAAAGATATTTTTCTTAGTCCAGTACTAAAATGAGCTTTAGTCTAAGACTAGCGCTAATACCTGAATCAGAAACCCGCCCATAATCTTTTAAGTTTCATTGTACAGTAGTCTTGGTTATCCAACCTTAAGCTATCCGACCTTCCGATTTATTTTACCTTTCTGAGCAATCATTGGTTACGGCGTCGTCTAAAACATCTCCCACGATCAAGACACAATTGACAGCATGTCACACGCTCCTGGCGTTATTGTCAATCCATCCTGCAGTCATAGCACACCGTCAACATGTCTTGTGGTACTACTATTGGTCAAGGCGCCATCTTGAACATCTCCCACAGCCACGGCACCATCGTTAACATGTCCCACAATCGTGGCGCGATCGTAAACTCATCCCGCGGTCACAGCACCATTGAAAGCATAGTTTTTTAATCACTTTCCATGTTATTCAACCATTTTGCTTATCCAAATTTTCGAGACTCTACTGTATCTAGTTTGAATTTTTTTAACTTTATTTAGGCACTAATGTTAGGGAGAATATGAGCAGTGAATCTTTTCTATTTTATCTTATCCACCATAATTCATTCGTCCACCATTACTACAATTAACACTAAGAGTACACTGTTTAGTATGTATTAGTTGTATGTGAGTGAAAATTTAAAAACGTACGTTTTCATGTCCCTGGCCTTTTACTTCGTAGATACTGGATTTGTAGTTTATTATTATGTGTTTTAATATTTTTTGGGACGGGGGCAACATGTTACACACATTTATTTGGTTTTAAATAGGTTCTAGGTATTTTTTTTCGTATTTTTAAAGTCTCGAAATTCACGACCATGACGTGTCCCTAGGGTACATTTTCCAACTTTCACGCTGTTTTTAGACTAATTATTCATGCCGAAATGTATAAAGCCATATTTTTATGTCATCAATGGTTATTAAACTTACAAAAAAGAAGCAAATTATAATTTTATTGTCATTGCAGACTGACTACCATGACAAAATAAGTCTGTCCCTCGATTTGGCGTCACGACCATTTGGGAAAAATTTTCAACTTTGGAGCACGACAGTGGCAAGCCTGGCGTCGATGGAGTCAGTTGGTTTTAGAAACTAGTTCGGGGTGTACGTCAGGATTGTAGTGCCGGTCGTTTTGAGTTGAAAGGAGGAATAGCAAGATTAATAAAGGAAAGATTGTGTTTTTTGTAATTTTAGTGTGTCCATGACCGTACATAGTCATTCGATGAAGTAGACATGGTATTAATTTTTGTTTATAAGATATTTCAATTGCTAGATTAACCTAGAAGTCCACTTTGTATCCTCGAACATGAGGTGCAGGGCTACCGCCAGAACAGAGCCAAATAACACGTAATTTCACGACCAAAGTTTCACGACCATTGCGGTTTTTTTCACGACCAATCCAGCCTTATGGATTATAGTGTGTTTGGTCGTGACAATAACTTTAATATAATTGTAAATTGAACAGTTTAGTTCAATTGAAACACGTAGTTTTATTATAACTAACAGTATAATTGAAGGATTGTTTGGAAAGATTTAGATTATTCCAGACAATTCACGACCGTACCGCTTGTCCCTGACCATCACGTTTATGATTTCTATCATAAAAATTTCAAAAATTAAAATATCGTCATATTTCAATGTTTTATACACAAAAGAAGCACACCTCTATACAAACATAACGATTTTTCACGTCTCAGGTAAGTTTTTTCGTAGTTATACAAACTTAAAAATATTTTATTGGCTTTTTTCTATTTTTTGAGTTTTTTAAATTTTTTTCTAGAAAGACCAAATATACCAAAAGCTCAGTGACCTTTTTATTGTATAATGGTCATAAAAGTAAATTAGTTTATAGCAAAATATAGTTATACAAATAATATTAACTATTTTTAATATTCATTTAAACGTCCGTTATGGTCGTGACAGGATTTTGTGTTTTTCTACTAAAGATTCTCTTTAAAAAGAAAACTACCAAAGATATTGCGTTACCATGGACATTTTATGAAACTTCAAATGTTAATAAAATAAAAAAAATAATAAAAGTTTTGAAAAAAGGGGAAAAAAATTTGCAAAGTCCTTTTCCTGAAAACGTACGTTTTTAAATTTTCACTCATTTATCAAAATATGTCTCTAACCCTCAAATAGTTAAGTTGCACTGTTAGCTAATTCATTTTAGTTTTTAGGTTTTAGAGATTGCCTTACCAAATAAATACCCCATCCTTCATAGTAGAAACGTTAAGTTTCCATCCAACCACCTTACCACTTAACTTAGTAGTACTTTCAACTTTGTCTTTGATGTATTGTATGATAATTGGTTGTTTACTTTTAGATGCGTACGATAGAGGGTTTAAAAGTACAATACAACTTGGTTATGACTTGGTATACAATAGGAATAGTTTATCAAAGACATGCTGTTTTTTTTTTAATCTGCAATGTGGATTTCATAATTGCTTAAACTGTTTACTATATTTCAGGACATAGTACTGCCTGCTTTGTGTACAGTTCTGACTCGCAGTTCCAACTTCAAGGTGCGGATGAACGCTTGTGTTGCGTTGAGTTGTGTTCAGTCACGTTCTCGTTACGGAGCACACTACCTGGTCGTGTGGCGTGCTCTCCTAGCTGGCCTGGATAATGCATTCAACATGACTGACTTCAAAGAAGTCAAACATCAAGATAGCCTTCTGGAACAGGTATGAGGTCAACTTAACAACTTCTTTGAGTCACTGGTAACTGTATGGATTTAAATAATAATTCTGATTTTTTCAACAGTATTATGTATCATGAAATAATGTGTAGTATTAACAGTATACCTCATCTTCTTCGTGGCGGAAAAAACAGAGGTTTCTTATCAAACTTAGGTTGGGGAGATAATTACAATTTCTGAATGAAAATTGAGTTTCCCCTTATTTGCTTTACATTCAATATATCTTCAATTTTGTATCTCATATATCTTTGAACTCGCCAATCTAATTTTGAAATGAAAACTTTTGATAGTTTTGAGATTTGAGATTCGGTTTTGACAGATCACTACACCTCGATGACAAGATTGTTTCCCTAAATCCCTTGAGACACTTCTTATCGAGGTTCTACTGTTAGTTAATGCATATTACCATTGATTTTAGATGAGGATATCAATAGATGAAGATATCACATCTACATGTCATTCTTTATTACAGTAGGCCAATGTAAGGTTTCAGATTTTTACTTAGGGGCACTTGTACCCTGGTAGGCAAGCTGTTACAGGCAAGGCTTACATGTACATAGTATAGTTCGGCCGCTTAGAAAGCGACCTCCAGCATTGGTTTAGCATTAGCGCGCAGGTCGTTTTCTAAGCGCAAACTATAATTATAAGCATAAACTATAGTTTATGTTAAATATATGAAAGCTATATATTTGATTGTGTCAGTGTTGTATGTTTGTTTTCTAGCTGTGCCTTGCAATGTGCCATCTGACATCAGTGGTGGAGCTGTCTGATCTGTCACAGTTGCATGAGGTTGTAGTGTACCACTGTGACACCATGCAGCAGCACCTGTCCCGCTTCAACTCCTCCACTGTACCAGAGCGGACGGAGGCCGTACTACATGCAGCATCACGTGTCGCTACACTGAGAGAGACATCACAGCTGACCGTGACACAGCGTGACGCTCTTACCATCCTCACCAGTGTGTTCACGTTTGACGTGTGACCTTCCACTGTGATCCTTGCTTTACAATAACTTGTAGGTAGCATTTATAAGATTATGAGATACAGAATCATGTTTTTAAAACCTGGCTAACATAGCTTGAGTTAAAGTAGTGTGAACACTATTTTTACTCTGTTAAATGATAAAAGATAAGGAAGAAGTTTGCTGCATTGCTTAGCCACTAGCAAAAGGAAAAAAACAGGTAGGTACTTACTTGTGTTACCAGTTAGTATTACAACACATAATACAAAACTGTGTTACTGTTTATACAAAACTAAGTTTTTGTTATCGTTTTTTGGCACAAATTCCATAGTGTGGACGGGGTGTATTGTTCATTAAATTTTTCTAGGTTTATCAGGCTTTATTTATGATTTATGGAATAATTTTGTATTTTAAAATAATTTCAAATGTTTTGAAAAAAGAAAAAGGAATCGTTGTAGCATCGTAGGTTCAACCATTAACAGTTTCACCAGAATGTGTTCTTAATTTTTCCATTTTTGTAACCTTACAAATCACTAGTGGTGTTTGTCCAGGATATGCCAGGTTTTAGGAATTGCCAATAATAGTTAAGAACGAAATGCAGTTAAGAACTTAAAATAATTAAGAAGTGGCAAAATGATGATAGTGTAAGGTGAGCACCTTTTCGTCTAAAAACGCTGTGTGATTTCGCCACTATCGTTCGTTACTCTATCGAATCACAACATCATCTATTACTATCGATTCGATTGTAGTTGTCGTTTGTCACAGATCTGTCAGAGCAGAGGCTATTGTGATACAGACAAAATGAGAGCACTCTATCATAAAATTAAACTGTCATAACCTAACCAAACTTGCTGATAATGAAAAATCGAATGAAGGTTTACTAATTGAAAAAAAAAGTTCTGTTTATAAAATAAAATTATAAATGCCTCAAATTCTAACAAAATATGTACAGGTAAGAAGTAATCACATTCTAAGCAAGATCTCAAAAAGTTACTGTCACTAGTGGAATACGATCTGGTTACCTCTAAGCCGAGTACTCAATCCACTACACCACGAATACCGATGGCAGCATTTTGTATCGTTGTGGTAATGGTGTTCATTATATTCATTCAACCATTAATAGATTGAATCGAACCCATTTGGTCCTAAATAATATCTATACTTAGTATTTTGATATTGAACCGATAGTACACAACGTTTTTGTACGAAAATTTGCTCAACGAAGTGAAATACTTTTTCCCACCACACAATGAAAAACACTCCTAAAAATGTATATTATGTAAAAATAAATCTTTGTTTACACACAATGCATTAACGAATTCCAAAACATTGATTATACAATGTTAGAAAATTGTAGGTCATGGTTTCATAGTAGCAACTCAACAATATAATTGCCACTGATTGGTAGTCAAGTGAATAATTTAATTAAATATATTAACAGCAGATTTTCTGCCCACTAAACACCACTTTTAGGCCTTAATGATTACACCTTTGTATAGTAAGAAATGTGGTATAGTTAACAAAGTTCACATTGTTATTTTACACGTTTATGCTTCTTTAAGTTCCTAAAATAACTTTCACGAATTTTCCTATCCATTCTGTTAATATAGTAGGAACAAATTTTTTTACCAGAGTATGTTTAGTCAAATTTGTTATATAAATGAATATTTAGAAATATTTTGTATTAAGTAACTTAATTTCTTTTATTTTAGTTTTCTTAGTTATAAACATAAAATATTAATGAACATCAAAGAAGAATGAACTTGATTTAATCAGAAATAATATTATATTGTATGTTAATAGTTTGGATGAATAATTTTATAATTATTGTTTTTATTTATTTGTACAGTTTTTATAATGTCGTGTACACAATTTTATAAAATAAACATATTAACACAGCTATATATGAGTAAATATTTAAACCTATCATCTTTTGATAATCGTTAGATCTTAGTATGGAAATAGGGTAATTATAAACCAGTACATTGAAATGTACGTACCTACCTTAACCTAGATTAAGAAATTCACATTTTTTAAACTCAGAAATATGTGTTGAGTTCTAAACCTTTTATTTCAAAATATTTAGGTACCTAAAACCTTTAAAAAAATTTGTCATTGGTATTGATTGAAAGGTCCTGTGAAATCCTTTAATATTTCACATACATCAGTGGGTACGATAAAACATACTATCAATGATTCTGTATTTGTTTATTAAGATTATTTTGCATAATACATAAACTGTGGCTATTGTTATGTTGTTTTTTTTACAAAGCTAAGTTGGTTAATTATTCCTGTTTAGTGATTTATCATTGCAGACTACATACAATGCATCGTTATCGTTTCACAACACTGTACAGGTTACCAAACAACTATTGTGTAACAGGTGATAGTTAGCGTGTACAGGGCGTAGACTGGTAATTATAGCGATTGACTTGGTACTGTTATACTCTACTGCTAACATTGTGCATCATACCTGCTGTGCTGTGTAAATTGTAGTCAGTCACTCACTACAAAGTGTGAGTTGTATTGGTTCACTAAAAAGTATGATTTATTTGTATTCACCTATTACAAAGAGTGAGTGGTTTGTATTCACTCATCACAAAGTTTGAATGGTTTGTATTCACTCATCACAAAGTTTGAATGGTTTGTATTCATTTATCACAAAGTTTGACAGGTTTGCATTCACTTACCACAAAGTTTGACAGGTTTGTATTCACCTATTACAAATTGTGAATGTTTTTTAATTCTAATCCGTATTTTCTAGCCCCTGAGCTGGTTCTTAATTCTCAAATCACTAAGTTTAAATGGTTTCTATTCACTTATCCCAAAATTTGTGTGGTTTTGTGAAGAAGTTAATGTTTTCTGGTCTGATTGCAATGACATTTCAATTAGATTTTATTATTTATGTTTAGGAACATAATTCCACTTCTTAGGTTGCTCTACTTGATACCTTAAAGACAGTTACAGTGATGGTTAACAGTTACAGTTATGACTTTGTGCATGGCTATTTAATTTCATTACACACTAGAGGACCCATGCTGCCCCGCAGTGTTAAAATAAATATAATATCCGAGAAATGATCAAATTTATAATTTTTGATTGAGTAATACAGTATCTTAATCGCTTAAATAAAAGCCAATATTTCACTGAAAGGTCTAAGACCAAAATGTAAAGGATTATAAAATTATAACTGGTGAAATACGTCTTAAATTGATGTAAGAATTCAAAAATTATACAAATTATGTTTTTTAGTCCAGTAATACAGTAAGTATAAGTATATGCCGATGCTTGATGTGAAATCTGTGCGTGCATACCTTCGATTTCAGACCTAAATCATGAAAATCGGTCGTGTAGAAGAGCCAATCGAACTCGGCAAAGAAAAACCCAATTTAACTCCCATAAGAAGTACATGGGGAGAAAAATTTTGTTTACGTATAAGCAGAATGGGATTATAGATAAATATATGCTGATACTTGATGGCAAATCTGTGCGTGCATACCTTCAATTTGAGACCTCAATCATGAAAATCGGTCGGGTAGAAGAACCAAACGAACTCGGCAAAAAAAGCAAATTTAACTCCCATATGAAATACATGGGGAGCAAATTTCGTTTACGTATAAGAAGAGTGGGATTATAGATAGATATATGCCAATGTTTGATGGGAAATCTGTGTCTGCATACCTTCAATTTGAGACCTCAATCATGAAAATTGGTCGGGTAGGGTAGAAGAGCCAAACGAACTTGGAAAAGAAAAACCAAGTTTTTCAAAATATATAAGATGAATATCCCATTCCTTATCAAATTTATTTTAATGGATCTGACTAATTCAATTATTAAGTCACAATTAGTACATGTAAAGCTGTATTTAGGAATATATAAAAGCCGAGGTGTGTGGGAGAAAAGCAGGAAATTGAAATGTCATCTCACTACAGAAGCCTTAGGTTCATAACATGTGTTCTAATAAATTAACCTACCACTTTGAGTTATCCCTATGATGAAATAACAGATAACGTCAATTAAAATCAGAGTAAATTAAATCTTTGATTTCGGTCTTAGTGGGTTATATTTCTATCTTATGTTGGTTAGCTTTTATAAATAAAGGCAGTCTTTGGTATCCCTACACATATAGACAATGTGTAGGGTAGAACCCATGAAGCGAAAGCAAGGGATGAGACAAAAAAGACAAATAAAACAGTCAAACATTTGGTAATTTTTTGCAACAGTTGGGATTTGACCCGACAAGTAAATTGATCAATCTTTAATTAGTGATATCATGTATGTGTTTTTTAGAGGAGATAGAAAGAGTGAGAGAGTAATTTTAAGGGCTATCTTCTTCAATGGCAAATAAATGGGGAAATAATTTGAAATCAACCATATACTTTCAGTGTTGACAGTGAAATGATTAATTATATTTCTTGGTGAATAAGTATCAAATACTTTAATGTCTGTCCTAAATTATGTGTAAGATCAGATCAAACCACAGTGAAGGGGCATGTGTCATCTAGTACGATAAGTATACATGTATCAATTTGAATTTGGTACATGCTTATTTTGACCTTAAACTGTTTATTATCATAATACAATTCCTTTATGTCTTCATTATTGCAGAAAAAACCAAGCTATTCATTCATCCGACTGTTATTCACACAACAAATTTATATTGGTCTCTAGTAAATAACTTATTTCATGAATATGTGTCCTGATCAATGTTTATTCAGTTTACAAGTTTGCTGAATCTGCTGGTTTGCTGTGTTGGGATTGTTTTACTCCAAGACAACAATCAGTAGCAGTAGCCTACTAAGTTTACACCAATTGCAATCATAGTCAACAACTGTGCTCAAGCAATAATGGATGGGTTGTGTCCACTCAATGTCTCCACTGGGCCTGCCTATAGCTACATTAATCTCAATATCTTGTACTTCTCTCATATTACAAGTTAGCATCTCTGAACAGATTGTGTTACTATATTATACAGGGTGATTAGTACTCAGTGTGACAAAATTTTTTTGATGAAAAGGATGGAAAGCTTATAAAATGGCACAGTTTTTAACATATTCCGACACTTTCTTGTATACAGGGTGTAAACAAATGCAATTGACAAATGTTTTTTTTTTAATTTTTATCAAACTTCTTAATTTTTATCTTTGAACCTATTTACAATGAAGTTTTTACAACTGATCCCCGTCATATTCCATTATTCTTATTCAAAATTTAATGTAGAACACAAAAATGACATTATATACTCAAATCCATTTACAGGTAATTGAGAAATAGCTGTATTAAGTTTAAAAACATTGATATTTTTGAAAAACATAAAATAATTCTTTGGGAAGCTAATTTTTAGACTTGGAACATTTTATAAGCATCATCACACTTCATTTACTTTGTACTTACACCAAAAAAAATTGTGTCACACTGAGTACCAATCACCCTGTATTTGTAGTACAGATTTAATGATCAATTAATATTGTACAATGAAGAATAAAGCTTGTTATACCTTGATTGCAGCCTTTAATGTTTCTCAGTGCATTTCCAACTGCACTCTTTTAAGCTCTCAGAACCTTAATAATTTAATCACAGAAAGTATAAGGGTGTCCCACGAAGGGGTTTAAAGGTTTGATTTTATATTACGTGCCCATTCATGCATCAAACTTTTTTAAACTTTACACAGTTTAAGAAGTAGGATATAAGAATATTCTGGAAACATTTCAACTCCCTAACCTTAGTAGAAACAAAATGGTGGCATATTGAAAAACGATGCTTTAAAAACATTAAAGAAGGTATTTTTGGTTTTATAAAATATTTTTATGGTTACTTTCCAGGGCAATATGACTTAAAAAAAAAAAAAAAAAAAAAAAAAAACTAGAACATAGCCTAATGGAAAATCGTAATGTCCAAAATTATTCAAACTGTAACCCATCCACAGCAACACACTGATAACAGCGCGTAACAAATTATTCGTAAGCTCTTACAAAGAAACCCTGCCGTATCCGGAGAAGTTCCTCTTCTATTGATCGTTTTAGTTCCTCATCATTATTGAAGCTATGGGTATAAACTTGTTCCTTCAAGAAACCCCATAAAAAGATGTAGCAAACAGTTAAATCAGGTGATCCGGTTGGCCAATCTAAAAAATGATTTCCACGACCAATCCAACGGCCATGAAGGTTGCCATTTAGTAATAGCTTGACAGGATTTGCGAAATGAGGTGGTGCACCATCTTGTTGAAAGATTGCTTGATTCATTTCTGCTACCGTCAAATGGGGCAAGACCTGTTCATTTAAAACTCATTTTACAATAAAACAGCTGTTCTTCAACAATGAGCGTTAGATCCGCAACGTAGTAAACAAATCAGATAATAAATCATGAAAGTAGTTTTTATAGGAAGCAAATTGGTAAATTTCTCAATATGCCACCATTTTGTTTCTACTAAGGTTAGGGAGTTGAAATTTTTCCAGAATATTTTTAGAACCTACTTTGTAAACTGTGTAAAGTTTAAAAAAGTTCGGTGCATGAATGGGCACGTAATATAAAATCAAACGTTTAAACCCCTTTGTGGGACACCCGGTACATTAAATATTACTAACTAAAGTAGACCTACATTAACACCAGCGCATGAGAGTGTATTCCCTCAGTAGCAGCTGGGTATTGAGTACGGAGA